TTTTCCACCTCGTCTCTGAATAAATGTTTGGGTGCCATGCTGGTCGGTTTAGAAATGTGTGTCACTGGTTTGGGCGACTCTCCTTCGAAAATCCTCAGCTTCATTCTCTTCATCAGTGTTCCCGCTATTGAGGATGCACATCGAAAAGCCTCGGTCACACATGTATCCGAAACGGCAATAATCCAGCTTTGCTCGTTATCCAAATATTGGAAACCGAACATCTTACCACTCAAACTTTGTATCCTTGTATGCAGGGTTGCACTTTGATATCACACTTAAGTTCCTCGTATGTTCAACTTGCACCTATACACTCTCCATGATTACTCTCGTGTGACGTTATGAAATCTAGTTGTGAAATGAGCGCCAAAATTATGTCACGTACGCTAGGATAGTGTCAAGTCATTCAAAGAATAGTTAGATATGTTGAAAAATATCAAATGTTCTACCTGTTTCAAACTATGAAAGTAGTTACACGTCTGCATTGTGTCATAGTTTTATATTACATGAAGCTTTCGTCAAATAATTTTAAAATCATAGTGCATCTGGTGTTTAAAATGTATGGATTTAATATGTCCTTAAACTAACAATACGCTTTAAACAACTGAGCCCGGTAGCTCCGCCCATGCTTTTTTGGCGGGAATAACTCATACTTGTGTTTTATCTTACCGGAAATGGCGTTGTCTAATAACAGATTGGGACGGGAATATATAAATGGAAAGACAATGAGTGAGGATATGCGGATTATACAGAGTATAACTGAAGGCGGAGGAAGCATAACAAGCGTTTCCGAACAATTCAAAGTGGACAGATCGTCAGTGTGGAAACTTTGGAAGAGGTTTGTCAACGAAGGGACAGTAAAACGACGGCCAATAAACAAAGGGGGCGCACACAATTAAATAGACCAGATATTGACTTCATAAAAGCTACAAACATAGAGAAACCATCTATGACATATAGAGAAATTTTGCATACAGTGTAAATTGAAAAGAGTTTCTCCAATTTCCGGAAACGTATCCGAATGTACAATTGGTCGCAACGCAAGATCAAATTTATATTTGACATTCAAACGTATGGTCAGACCCTATGGGGTGACCAATTTACACCACACAGTATGGCATACACTCAAGCATTTTTGGATTATTGTCAGACCAAACAACCCCGACAATTAAAATGTATGGACGAAGCGGGATTTAAGCTCATAGCAAATACAACCGACGGATTTCTACTAACATATTCCCCGGATCTTAACACTGTTGAAAATTGCTTTTTAAAAGCCAAGATCATGCTAAAACATTGGTTTGCTGCTCTAGCAAAAGACAATTTCAAACTGCCGGTGATACGCTCCATCGAGAGTAACACTGCAGCTGTCATTCGTGGGTAGTATCGGCACACAGGTAATACAGGTTTTCTCAAGTACTCTGTCCTGGTGAAATGTATGTAAACATATATCATGTTGTACACTTACTTGTAATATAAAATAAAATGTTATCGTTTTCGTGCACATCATTGTTATTATATAATTTACAAATATATTTAAACAGGTATGTAAGTTATTTAAGTGAACGAGCTGTCGAGTCTTGCACCGTTCTATGATATTTCTTTTCAGTGCAGCGGCCAGTATGGACAGCTTTCAAACATGTGAACTATTCTTCAACTTGCCTTCATGAAATCATAAATACCAGTATAGTTAACAAAAATGTTGATAAGTACACATTCAACTAAACATTAAAGGCATGACACATGGTTTGAAACATTTACATGCAATGTAAATTTTACATTTCCCTGTACGTGTATGCGTTATCTTAAGTTGACAATACGCGCAAACAACAAGTCTCCGAAAAAGATAAATAGAGGTTAAACAACGAGTGGTTGTTGAATATGGTATTTATTTCACTCGAGTTAGTTAATTTTCAAAAGTTACAAAAGACACGAGCTTTAGAAACTTTTTTGAAAATTAACTAACGAGAGTGAAATAAATACCATACTCAACAACCACAAGTCGTGTGATCTGTTTCTACCACAATCTCAGTCAGAAACAGCATACACACATTTTGTTGACAAGGCCGGCGTAGTGATATGACCCATATGTAAAAGGTCACTCATTAATATTCCAAAATGACCTTTTTTTTTTACAAATTTAATAGTTTTCAAATTTAATGTTTCGGAAACAACTTCGTGAAAAAATTAAATAGATGAAAGACTTTAAATATTGAGAGTATGCAATATTGCATTAATTGATATAAATTAACCACGGACTATATGCGCGTAAGCATATCGTACGAAGTCTGCCTCTCGCCAAGTGACGAAGACGAACTAATCGCTATCAATGTCCAAAACCATATTCGTGAGGTTCTATGGTTGACGTTACAGTGAGAGTTTCGCCATAGACAGGCCCTCCAAATATTGATAACTGGACAAGGGGAGAACGAAATATTTTCCGACACTGTTACAGATCTTGTTTCGGGTTCACAGAGACATATATTATCGATACGTTTCTGGGTTTCACGACCTGGACACGCGACGGTATGGCGTCGAAACGATATCGAGCGTCTGTAGCAATTTAGGCTGAAACTAGCGATCAAATCTTTAAGCATCATCTTCTTTTGGTATTGCGTTAATGACCCCCTTTATCCGTCGTATTACCTCACAGAAGTCACCAACATTTGCCGGATGTTGACAGCAGACGACGTGAACAAAACAGCACGCGGTAAAAGGCGCGTGAAAATATTCGTCCAATCAAAACTACGGAAGGTCATATACCACGTGTGGTGTATCACTATTATTTAACGCAGCGTATTGTGGTAGAAAATGTTGTACACTGCTTCTGAAATTAAGGACGACACCGACCTCAAACGTTCTATCGACCAATCGACGAGCCAGATGCAGTGCGTGAAACGCTGAAACAACCGTTCGTTTGTGGGCGTGTTCTTTTTCAACACGAGACGATTTTGATTGTAGCAAAATCGAAGGGTCATTGTGCAGCACCTTGTGCATTTGATGATGGACATCAAAATAATATCGCGGTCGCGTAACGGTAAAACTTTCTGGCTTTGAAGTCGGGCGTCGCTCCTTCGTAATCTTCAAAGAACACGCATCAGTCTAGTGATTGGTCAGATTTTTTTTCCTGACACCAATCAAATAGCTAGCCGCGTGTCTTTAATTTTCCTAACACATATTCCAGGGGTTAAGTGAGCGAAAGTGAGCGTAACACCTGGATATCAAGGACGCATGCTCTTATAATCTCAGGGACTAACGGACTTCACAACGGTATATTGATGTGATAAAGAAATGTAATTACTAATTAGGGCCTTGTCATTATCCGATTTATTGTACCTGTCGCATGATTTTGATCAGTCATTTAGTATTTTTTTCAAGGAATCATATATAAATTTTCTTGATGTCATTAATTTCAACTGATAAAACCAAATTATTTAGTTTATGACCTTATCGTTATAGACCTTTGCCACACAACAAAACACTATCTCATGTCGCAAGCGTCGTACGAAGGGAGATAACTCCGATACATATATATATAATGTAGTCAGAATCTTATTATCTAGGTATGCAGTCAAAACGGATACAGCGTAAAAGCTAACGTTAACAGTACATTATCTTGTAATTCCAGGCATACATGTAATTCGGTATTATCGAATTGTTTCAATTCTTCAAAACCAGATGACACTTCAAACTGCACTTATACAAAATTAATCTGGCATATGGCTTTACAAAATAGACAGATTAATTTTGTATAAATGCAGTTTGAAGTGTCATTTATTTATATATGTGGCTTTACATAATAAGGGGTCGCGGGTTGCCGAGTGTTTAAGGCGTCTGCCATTCTGCTACCACTAGCCCTCCACCACTGGGTCTCGGGTTCGAGACCTACGAGGGACAGTCGCCAGGTAAGTGGTTTTTCTCCGGGAACTCCGGCTTTCCACCACCACCAAAATCTGGCACGTCCTTAAATGACCATAGCTGTTAATAGGACTTAAAACACACACAAACCGAACAAAAAATTACAAAATAATAACCGTACATCTGATCACGGACTTATTAATCTAAATCCGTGATCTGATGCAGGAGAACTAGATAGGTATAAGGTACAGGACCTAGACCTAGATCTTAGTGTATCCCAGCAGGTAATGAGAGCCATCCTGCATGGACATATCAGATTACACAATCCCAAAAACGTATTTGACAACAACAAAAATAGTTATTCACTAAATAACATATTTGGTTATATATATATATAATATCTGTTTATAACAGATGAGTAAATTACCAATGTTTGCTAACTCACAAAAATAAATCTTTATTTATTATTTAGTTTAACATATTTTACTTAGCATACATGTAATTATGATTATTAAGTAACAAAGACATATTTTAACCTGGTAAGTTCTTCAATCAATTCAGCCTCATATAAAAACGAAAACAGGTCGGCCAGAAGAAGAACACATTTTATAACCACAGAAAAGCCTCCATACCGTCGGAAAATATTTCAACAAAGATATTGTCAACCAGAAACTCAAGCGTTCTCACGATTTCATATATTTTATTTTGGCCATAACGTTTTCATAAAATTTGCTTCAAAATAATAACAACCGTATATCTATATAGCTTTTCTTGAAAAGGAAGTCCTTGTAAAACTCGGTAGTGTAAAGAGTGGAAATTCAAATGTTTTGGTAGATGAAGCATCTTTGAGGAGAGGATGCTCAAAATTAATCAAAAGTTCTATTGAGGTCTTCAAAATCCTCAGTCTAATACCTCCACGTCTGGAGTATACAATATCACGAGCGTTGCCCTCTATGAAAACAAAACAAAAATGATAGTAAGAATTTCGGAGAATTGCTTGGTTGAGCAACTAGCGGAAATAGTGACAAAACGCTATTTATAAAAGTTGGAATTAAGCATGAACACACGGCAGGTCAGCATCCTTTTCTTTAATTGGTTTTTGGAAATATTGTCGCACTGAAGCGTGATTCGTCTTTCACAAATCGGAAAAGGTAAAGGTAAGGTTTCCTTGGCTGTCAAGCAACCTTAGATCTGTTTATAAGCAGGAAATGTGTTGTAGTGTTTGCAAACAAGTATTGAGTTATTAGATCCTTTGTCTGCCAACACAACTACATACTTATTTTGCATACGGTGAGTGTTGTTTGGCAACTGGTCCAGAAATACACGCTGATGTGTTTTTTTTAAACTGTTAATTCGTTTTTGAATGATGGACCTGATTGGTTCAACTCAACTGAACGTGAAACCTAATCCCCATGCTCGCGTTTTGAGCACAGCCTGACATTTTTTTTCACGAAATCCTGTATCTTGAGAGTTCTATTCCAGCTGATAGTTACACCCTCTCAATGCTTTAGACCCTTCGTGAACAGCCCTCGTAGCATTGTATTACGGGTAATGTTTTGATCGCCGGTTTCTAAAACATTTATCTGTCCAGTTGGCAATAGATGTATGATTAGATATTTAGATGTATTAGGATGTTTAACAAGTCCATGTTGAATTCCAGCCCTCCAAAAAATATGTGTGATCTTAAAACACTAAAATTGCTCGTTTTAAAATAAAGCTACTATATCTAAATAGAAGGAATCTAACTTCTTTTTGCTTTCTGCATCGAAAAATAAAATGTCCAAACACGTGCTTCATTTCTTTCGATTTCTTTTCAAGGCGATTCACTCTATTTGTCGGCTCTCTTGCTATTCCTGGTGAACATTTCGTTTGATAACATGCAAATGAGTTAAAAGCTCATGAAAAGTAATTGAATCTCATAATAGAGCACGATAACTAATAGAAATATGAAAGAAACACTTATATACTAATTCCGTTTGTTGAACATTAAATATTTTACTGCAACTTATGGACATTTTGTGCATTCATTACTCATCCGTGGTACAAACGGTCGATGATGAGAACTCATAAAGCGGTCCAAAACATATATAGAAACTGAAATATAGTGAAGAGGGTAGGTGCCTCCAAAGCCCTCTATAACATTCTAAATTAACAACTTTTGGCTAAAAAACTAGGTTACTCACCATAATTACATGTATTATTAGCCTCTATCACATGTATTATTAGCCTCTATCACATGTATTATTGACCTTTATCACATGTATTATTAACCTCTATCACATGTATTATTAGCCTCTATCACATGTATTATTAGCCTTTATCACATGTATTATTAGCCTGTATTAAGTCCGACAATTCAAAATGGAACGCGGTATGCTTTAATCGATTCAATCACTTATTGACAGAAGTATATTCGTGTTCAATAAATATTCCTATATGTTTCATCCCTATTTTCATTGACCATAGATATTATGGAGTTACTGTGACGTATTTCCAGCACTCGTCTGCTATCTTCAAATGAACCCATGCATTCGTCCACAGGAAGTTACGTTATGATAATTATGTATGTATGTATATATTAACGTAGGTGCCCTGTGTGTCTGTTACGTATGACAATGCGGGCTATACACGTGTTCTCCCTGCTGATACTGACCACAGCGGACAGGAAACTAGACATACTAAACCTCTACAAGAACAGCTTCACAGGTGATGTAAGTATTAACCTAACACTAAACGAAAATTTCAGATTGTTTACATTATGTCTATAGAAAAGATGGCCATGTATATAGTATATGTACGGTAGTAAATACGGTTAAACGTTCGTAAGAAATTATAAGTCGTACTTATTTTTACTAATTTGTACGATTCCTTTCTCATCGGGTCCGAATGTTCAATTTCATTCATAATTAAGGTTACTGTTATACAATACCATATATAGATTTATGAAATTGATTAATTACATTTAAGTACGTGTATACATAGAGTGTAACCTACTACAGAATTAAATAAGGTACATATTATAAAGTATGAGGCATCATATGTGGGACCACCTGCAGAGTCAGGGGTTCCTCCTTTGTCTTATGTTTAGGAACAAGTTAGAAATCGAAACTGATTCGTTGCCCCATTCTCTCCTGCCTACAGTTCGTTATCGTTGCTGGTTAGTCCGTTGTCAGAATGTTAGAATGTGTAGTGTCATGTTGCCTTGTTAATGTTATGGTACTTATGTATTTCGGTGAAATGGCGCTTTGATATTGCCCCTGAGTAACCCCATCATTCGTGGACGACATTTTTCACATGCGAGCATGCAAAATTCTGAACAAATATATATATTCATTTAGAGACAATTTTTACTTTGTACGCATGCTCAGCCGCCAATGATGCTTTAATCAGACTTTCGACTTGCAAACTAAACGTGTACTGAATGTCAACAGTGACAGAAACTGTATGCTAGGTAATTTGTCAGTCCTGACACACATTAGACACGATGACAGCTGTAGGATTACCGCACACTGGTCACGTCATAATACCATATTTACACCGTACTTATGTAAATCTACATGTCATCCGTCGTCGTTAATTAACACCAAGGGGCCGCGGTGGCCAAGTGGTTAAGGCTTAACACTAGCCTTCCACCACTGGGTCGCGGGTTCGAGGCCTTCGTGGGGCAGTCGTCGCAAGGTACTGGCCGAAGGTCGGTGGTATTTCTCAGGGAACTCCGGCATCCCTCCACCACCGAAACCTGGCACGTCCTTAAAAATGACCATAGCTGTTAAAAGGTCGAAAAATACACACGAACCAAATAATTGACATCACATAAGTAAAGTAATGCTAAGATACTTTCAATAAAATATCCTCGGAGATCTGTACGTTTCGATGAAATTGTGATAGTTGTCACTATAATATAAACACAATTGACTTGACTTGACTTATATTTTCGATGTCTGCTTAACTTTGGAAGTGTTTGAATTACTTACAGCGGCATTTCATTAGCTTCCGATTCCCTGAAGTTATTTATACATTTTGTATATTCTTACCAGATAACAAAATGTAATGTTAAAACAAACTTCCTTTCTTGATATTTACATGTGTCTACAGTATGACACATTTGTATCCAATTACTACGTACACAGACGATCCAAACTCTTATACATCTATTTCGTGGCCTGTTTCTGATATTTCGCGTTTTTTTGTCATCGAGACAATGTGAGATTTTGAATATATATTGTCGATGTTTCATTATTTTGTCACAAAGTTTTATTTTTCGATTAATTTTCCTGACACTAATTATCCAAACTCACGTGTACAGGGTGTACGAACTCTACTCAACTCTTTCCCATTTACCGATAGTATAACAACAATGGTCTGTCATCAACAGTTTTTGACCTTTTGTTATGATGGGCTTTCCTTTTTGTTTTAGTATCACATCGGTTCTAATTGTTTTTTGTTAGAGTTGACGTTGACGTTGAGGTACGGTTTCACTAAATGTTAACGATGAGGTTATACATCTACACAATTTGATAAAGCGCCCTATCTAGCTAGAGTAAGCCACTCTAAAGCGCTGTACAATACATAGATATACAATTTGCACAATCAACACAATTATCATATACATTAATCAATATAATTTTGTGGAATTCGCAAGAGCTGCCTTATCAGGCGCTGACTACTAGTCCTATGCCACCTGGCTAATATCTCCCTATGTGTGTATGCCTGCATGCGTGTTTGGAGATGTATTGTGTTATAAACCTTATTCAATATAATAGCGCGGGAGTATGTAACTGATAGGCCAACTTGATTTTATTTTCACATGTGTGGACATATTTCTATAATTTAGTTTTCGGTTCCAGGGAACATATTCCTGGTATAATGCGGATGGAACCTGTAATAGAAATATTTTGGTGATATGATGACCCTATATTTTAGTGCTTGGTTTCAGGGAACATATTACTGGTACACTGAGGGTGGTACCTGTAATAGAGATATTGTGGTGATATGATGACCATATACTTTAGTGATTGGTTTCCGGGAACATATTACTGGTACACTGAGGGTGGTACCTGTAATAGAACTATTGTGGTGATATGATGACCCTATACTTTAGTGCTTAGTTCAGGGAACATATTACTGGTACACTGAGGGTGGTACCTGTAATAGAACTATTGTGGTGATATGATGACCCTATACTTAAGTGATTGGTTTCAGGGAACATATTACTGGAACACTGAGGGTGGTACCTGTAGTTACCCACCACCCGAACTACCGCCCGTAGCTTACCATCCAAACATCACAGATCTCGTAGCCCTCAACAGTCATCAATTCTTCGGATCCCACGCCTGTGGCATGTGTTTCTCGGTATATATTTCTTTCTTTGCATGTGATTTTCAGTCAAATTGCTGTAAAGCAATATTATTCTCCATTTGTTGTTTTTTGCTGTTATTATGATTGCACGCATATAATCTATTTTTGTGATAATTTTGCAGTAGGAAAAGTTTCAGTAAATTAAATCTTACCCATGGAAACTAAGATTTAAATTAAGTAAGTCATTTTTTGAGCGTCAGTGACCTAATATCAACTCTTTTTCTAAGGATCAATGATAACATATCATAATATCAATAATACATGTATTATATTTAAAGTTTAACCAGTTCACTATGTTATTACATATATATATATGTGTAGGTGAACGGATCAGGTGTGGGATTAGGTCTCAATCCTATCATAGGCCAGCACATCGTGTTCGTCAAGGACATGTGTCCGGAATGTAAGAAGGGTAGGTATTAAAGGAGTGTCCTCATTATGTTGTCATTGTATGTTGGTGTGTACATTAATTATTTAGTTACAATATATGTAGTTATAAATTATATATTGTTACGTTATTGTTTTACATGATATTAACCCTTTCACCACTAGGTAACTTTAGTAGACTCTGCCATACATTGATCTGGATGAGTCCATTATGGTCTACAGTGGTGAAAGGGTTAATGTGTTGTTATACAGTTTTTGATATTCTGATTCTTGATATACAAGGGCCTTATATACACTCATCCTTTGTTGTTTTAAACATGTACATAGTACATTATTAATTTAATAGATATGTTTGCAAATTTAACTTACAGTGGAATATCTATAACAATTACTTATCACAATTGAACATTTGAATCAATAAAGAGGAGACTTTAAAAGTGTTTGTAAGTATTAAGAAAACTATATTGAATACATTTGTTTGTAATAATAGGTAAGACTATTACATTTACAGATACATCTGGTTTGTTTATAAGGAGGATAACTTAGATACTATTGTCCGTGGTTATATGCATGACCTCCAAGTATACATTTGCTCTTACATATGTGGAAGACTCCACAAGATACATCTATTTAATATTAAAATAAAAACTACGTTTCATTTGTTTGTGGTTCTGAGGACTGTATTACCTACACATATTTGTGCTTATATAATATGTAAAACCATGTCAGCTACAAATGTTTATAATTTGAAAAACTGCGATTTATGCTTCTTGCTTGTGATGGAGGAAACTTCTTTTTCAATCTAGGTGATGTAGATTTCTCCGAAACTGCCGACGGTCGGTGGAATATTTCCATCCGGGCTATCCAATGTCCGGTTGGTAATACATCAATCGAATACAAATTTCAGGGCAGCAACGAATATTACTTAAAACTCCAAGTTCGTAATGCAAGGTAGGGAATCCTCCATGCGCCTTGTACAAAACATTGTACAACCAATCATGGTTAAGTAATAAGATTAGTAATTATCTATGTTACTGTGCGTTCGATAGCAATATGACTTTCAACTTTCCATAGTGTTATTATTGATAGTATCAATATTAGTCTTGTCTATAATATATGTACTTTGATGATTGATTTTTGAACGTTTCTAAAAAAAAGTCGGATGGAAAGCGCCCCTACAAATCATTGTTTCAATGTGTGTACACACTCGGTCCCTTGATCTTTTCGCGATAATTGTTACATCTGTTCGATTCATTCTTTCTCCTTTGTTCCAATGAAACATGATTCCATATCTGTAACAATGTACTTTAATTCACGGATAAAGATAAATACCGCCTTTGTAATGTGGGGTCATTTGCATGTTGCAGAGGGGGGGGGGGGGATATGCCTGACTCATTTCAGTGTTTGTTCATAAGAGGTAACAGATGTGAAACCCCCTCGCTGTGTAATCGTGTTTACATTTAAGATACAAACATGGATATGTTACAACAGATATCGCAGGTAGTATATTTATCTTATCATTTTTAACTCGCATCTTGTGGTATACTTTCAGTATATTACACAAACATTTAAACAGTGTCTACCGTTTGGTCCTTATTGCCTTATTAAATAGACTCATTATTGACTTTAATGTTAAATTTCTGGGACTAAAATATGTATTCCCTACACCAGACTCATTCAAAACACTTCAAGAAGGGGTATTGCAGCGAAACGTAAATGTTCATATATTTATACAGCTTTAAAATTGTTGTTTGGCAAATAGGACTTTTTTCAAATCCAACTGTGTTGTAATGTAGCAGAGAATGTAAATAAAGTCACAAAACTATACATTTCCATAGGATTCCGGCCACATCATTCGAGGTGAAGTTGCCGGATATGTCCTGGTCCCATTTTAATCACACGATGGACGGTTTCTGGACTGTATCGTTTCCCACCGGAGTGACGTATCCTATACATCTTAGACTAACTGCAGCGAACGGTGAGGTCATCGAAGACACACTGGGCACAGATCACATAGGTAATACTTAAGGCTTTGCAGTCGTCAGTTATTAAAACATTGTGGAATGTAAAGCATTGTAGGTCACGAATTCAGTTTATTCCAAAAGCAGTACAGCTTATAGGAGTCATAACATACAGTAACATGTCATTATACACAAGATAACGGAGGCTGAACAATGTGAAAACAATTTCACTCCTCGTCATAAATTGTGCAATCAACAAATGTACTATACAAGATAACACAATAATATTACTATCAGCTGTCACGCCTGGCTGTGGCAATACACAAAAAAATACCAAGATTATTTAGTTGTTTTACATTCCTTACAGACAGAGGTTGTACAAGCTTAAAGACAGAGGATTAATGTTTCCAATTTATTCTGCTTATAAGTGATTGCAAATTTAAATATTTTGAATAAACATTCAGGATTCAAACCCTCGCAAATAAGTTATTCAAAGAAGAAATGCAAACATAAGTATTCTAAAACAATTCACTGATTCATTAAGGCTAACATGCCATGTCGTGACAAATAAAACGTGGGTTATTGCTGATTTTTGGTACTATAATCTTGGTTATTACTATTATCTTATTGTTATGAATTAAACACTGTAAAATTAAATGCGAACATAAGTACATAAGTACATATGAAAAAACATACTATTTCGGAGTTTAATGCGCATTAAAAGAGTCATATACTTTCTATGTATTGTGAATGTCACTAAAAACGTATTTTACACTGCATTATTTCTAATTTTTACAAAAATCTTTAAAGATTTGTTATAAAGTTGTTCGCTTATTAAAAAAATAATTAACAGACAAGATTGCTTACACATGATCAATATTTAAAAGACTTGTTATACCGTACAACTTGTTCTTATTTTGTAGTTAATGAGAAGGTTATATATGGTGACGGCAAACAGTTCTCGGTCGACAACAGCCTACCAACATAGTCGTGAAGGAATCATGCTGCATCAGGAAGAAATCAGCTCGATATTTCTCCTTTAATTTGACTTTTTTCATTTTTTGACAAAAAAATATTATGTTAAAAGATGTTATTGTCTTTAACAAGTCGTAAGCATTTAACTTATTGCACCGACAAGGCAGAATTTCTATCCCCGTTTCCACTATTAGACAAATGTCTGACTTTTGGAAAAAAACAACTTCAATTAGCCAAACTTGTGTATCACGAACTTAGATATCTCAAATAACCCGGTAGGCTTGTGGTATTGTCTAAAGTGACCTAATTTTCTCGATGTATCATTTGATGTAATATGTCTGTTTATTGACACATTTGTTATCTCATTGTTTTATTCGTGGTCATGTCTGTTAATTGATACCTCGGTTATCTCGAGGTATTATTCGTGGTCATGTCTGCTTATTGATGCCTCGGTTATCTCGAGGAATCAGTCATGCTCATGTCTGCTTATTGATTCCTCGGTTATCTAGAGGAATCGGTCCTGCTCATGTCTGCTTATTGATGCCTCGGTTATCTCGAGGAATCAGTCATGCTCATGTCTGCTTATTGATTCCTCGGTTATCTAGAGGAATCAGTCGTGCTCATGTCTGTTTATTGATACCTCGGTTATCTCGAAGTATCATTCGTGGTCATGCCTGTTTATTGATACCTCGGTTATCTCGAAGTATCATTCGTGGCCATGCCTGTTTATTGATACCTCGGCTATCATGCGGATTCCTTCGTGTTCATATGTCTTTATGTTGATACAAATGTATGCTTATATTAAAGACTTATTCCACGAATACTGCTCAGTTAATCTCAATTTGTTATAATCCACAGCTAGCACAACCAGGGAAATGTTTTGTAAGATATTTCGATGACTTATACGGTGAAACATTGCACTTTTATCTGGCAAAAGTGATTTTGTCCGATCAAGGTGACGGAGTACACAAGATACTCAATATTTGTCATAACACTTGTGTAAATGTATTTCTTTTATCATTTCAATGGTTAACACGACTACATTTAAAAATGCATGCCTAGTTAAAAAATATTAAAAAGTAGACAAATCAATGGGTGTGTCACGCTCAACTGCCAAGAGTATGTAAAACAATGCAGTACAAAAGCTAAGCCCTCTCTCCGCTCAGTCGATGATCATAACGCACTTCGTCCCTGTCAAATTTCTGAAACACTCGATTATTGCTAAATCGCTTTTTTCTTGGAGCCAACCAAGATTTCGAAAGTGTAAATACCACTTTTGATTGTGTTTTATTGACGACAACCTATGCCACACAGGTACGTTGCAATGGCTACGTACAGTTCTACTTTACAATATCGAGTACAATGAATATACGTTCTCAATGGCTAGAATACAGGAACATTAATGGCTAGCGTACGTATAATTGCACACCCTTTTGGAAAAAATAATAAATAAAAAAAGTATGGTGGTGAAACAAAAACTAGATAGCGCGGCCATTTCTTAGCAATATTGTATGCAAACGATGTTGTTGTTTTCTATTGTTGATATGGTTTCATATTCCTGTCAAGTGAGTAAGTTGATCGGCATCATTCGACAACAGTTAAGAACGATTTCGTTTTTTTAATGATTTTGCGTCCTCGTAACACGTCGTGTGCAGGCTGTGTCCACAGAAAATGGGGATACATGTACCAACTGGCCGCTTTTCATCTCGGTGTCATCTCACTGATATTTCGTAACCTAGACACGGTAAAATGGTTTTCCACCAGATTTATTCCAACAATGGGCTTACCATGTGTGTAAAATGGGGATACATGTACCAACTGGCCGCTTTTCATCTCGGTGTCATCTCACTGATATTTCGTAACCTAGACACGGTAAAATGGTTTTCCACCAGATATATTCCAACAATGGGCTTACCATGTGTGACTTCAGAGTCAACTTCAAAGTGAAAGAAAAGACAAAAAAATAAATAAGATATAGAGGTCCTTGTGTAAGTTGGGACAACGTAACTGTTTTGGTTTCTCCAATGTACCCTTAGCAGAAGACATCGAATAAAACCACTAGTTTTCCACAGCACACCACATTAGTCACCTCATACGATCATGCAGTGAGATACAGTAGGTCTATTCGTTCCCCAAACTAGAACATTAACATCTTAATGGCCTTCATCAAATACTAATAAAATAATTTATTAAAAAAATAGTAAATCTATAGCTGTATTTTGCTTTCGATCAATATCCGTTTTTTCAGCACGACAAAATAACCATATTATATAAACAAATAAAGATAATACAATATGTTTTATCATGGTTGCATGTTATCTTGTGTCGATTGAGACACATGTTTCAATATAAATGTGGGTTTTTTTCAATAGTAGATGCAGTCAAATTCAGTAACAAACTTTACACCATTTTCAAATATTGGGTGATTCTTTTCAAAGTGTCACCTTATTATAAAAATAATACACCAATTGATTTCAAGGTACCAAATTATTTATTTCCAAATGTATTTAAAATAACATTAAGATCGTTCAGTATGTACATGTATACAATATTAACAATAAAATATTGACATAACATATATGGGACTGAACATCCTCCTTTTTGTCCGATATTTAGGAGTGGACGGAAAAAGTCATCATAATATTTTCTAATGATATTTTCGATTTTGCTGAATTTCAAAATGTTCTTTTTCGTCTTATTTCTGAACAGATCCAAATGTAAACGAAAATAAAAGTACCAACTTTATGTGGAAGGATGTGATACCGTTGATATTTAAGAAAATGAGAAGCATTTAACCAATCGAACAATTACAAACGTTTACACAAGCTACACTATTTGTAATTTGTTGGATATATACATAATGAACTATTTGTGTTAAATGTTTGAAATGACTTGTGTTATGTGAAATGTGTGGTATGTGTGGTATGTGTTATATGTGTTTTATGTGCAGAACGTGTTGTATGTATTAAGACCTATGTTTTATACAAGACAACGTGATCTATGATATTGTGTATTGTAAAGGATTTTATGTTGTATAGGAGTGCGTTATATGGGAGGTTAGGTGGTATATGAATGTTTGGTTATAAAAAATGTACAGGAGTAAGAATTGGGCCATTTGTAATAATACATAGAAAATAAGCATTATATGTTATATGAAATGAGTGAGGAATAATGGGATAAGTTGTCAAATATTCATAATATAAAAATTATTTACACAGTTGGTATATGTACATGAAATCTCGGCTTAACTGTTTTGTAACATTGTCAACACAACTGGTACAGTATCACCCTGTAAGTGATTCGACACGCGTGTTGTCAGAGACATCACGTGACCGTCTCGCAACATGAGTGGCAATGTTTCGGAACACCTTTGCCGGTTCCCTGTCCTTTCGACGGACCGCCCTCGCAGTGACAGCTTTGAAGATGGCGGCAAAGAACTCGACCAGTTCTCCAATAGTTATGGCTGATAGTCCAAGCCACAGGCCTAGCTGTCCTCCAATGTCAGAAATCAAGTTCTGGGACTGTGATAGGATAAGAAAAAAATAGTACGGATTAAGTAAATAATAGGAACGTTGGGGACATTTCCACGTCAACTTTCGACAATATCTCTCACCATTTCTTATGTTCCAATGAAACAATATCTTATTGAAATTGATCAATTAAGTTAAAAAAAAGTTACCTCGTAACCTTTTTGTTGTTCGATTTTTTCGTAGATCATCTCTTTGAAGAAGATTTCAATCTTCGCCAGATTCTTGGACCTATTAAAAAACCGTACGTACTTTAGTTAGCAAAATATTTCATGCAATCCTAAGTACATGTACATCTGTAATACATGCAAAAGTCCGTATGCCTCTTAAATATTAAGTGATGAGATGAAACTATTCAATCGCATTTGATTGGTGGAAAAGATCATTCTTTCCTCACTAAATCAATTTCTACACAACTTGCTCAGGCCAGTGTGTCATGGAATTGATAACAGGTACATGGGAGACACTGCAACAAACAGAAATGCAACAGCAGGTACTTAGGAGACACCGGAAGAATTGAAAATGACAACAACAGGTACTCAGGAGACATCAGAAGAATTGAAAATGACAACAACAGGTACTGAGGAGACATCAGAAGAATTGAAAATGACAACAAAGGTTACTTAAGAAACAAGACACAAGAACAAACGGATATTCCACGTGAAGAACACTTGATTAGTTTGTCGACTCACTTGCTTTCGAGATGATCATCTTCCATGAAGTCGGTAGAGGATCGCATGAGTCGTTTTTCAAGGCTTTTCTAGTGGAATGAGAGTATATTAAATATGAGATGTGAAATATATTAGACTTTACTATTACATCGACAAAAGTGCTTCTCTACAAACATTCAATAGTATCCCTTTCTGCCAACTGAAATCTAAATTCAATATAACTTATATTTCAAGTAAAAATATTCAATTTGACTTCATTCAGTGTATAATTGTTTCTTCTCAAGTACCTTTTTGTTTGAAGATTAATCTTGATCTGTGTGTAAGAAGTATTATTTGAAAAATTGTCCAAACTTCAAGGAAGGGCTATATGAAGTTAGTTTATGTTATGTTGTCTTTGAGCATAAGGTTTGCGGTTTTCAAAACAATTAATAAACAACAAAAAAAGGATGAAAAGTTATTACAAAAATTTCATTTTCAACATTTTCTCGCAGAGGGTTATACGGTATAACATGTTATCAGGTGTGACAGATACTGTATAACACTCTCGTATCCCTGGTTTATATAAATATATAAATAAAAAATACTAACACATTCGCAATTAATGTATTGAAGCAAGCGTTAAGCCAATGCATGCCAATCTCTTTGTCTTACACTGGGATATTTTACTGTACCGAAAGAGAATATGCTTCAACATGTTTTTTTGCTAGAAAAAAAAACACGATGACGGATGTTTCACATGTCCCTACGCCTAACAAAAAGGAAATTACTTATACATAATTCATTTTAATATTTTGTCATTAAATGTGTCCTCAGCCCTAATTGTTTTTTCAGTGTTCCCTAGTCTTTCGAACACTGTCCTATTTAATGGTCGTTTTACCATGATTAGGAGTTAGCCGAGCCGAGGAGTCTGGTAACGTATTATTCAATGTGCAAATCTGTTTTGTTTTAACAGATGAGGAGTATGCACTCAGGTATGTTAGCGTTCATCTAAACAATATCCAATTAGATATATGAACTGTATGACCACAATTAGCGTCACATTTTAAACTTCTTTTGAAAGTAAAAGTAAACATTGAATTCCCCTAATGCATAAGTTCTTTGGTTTGAAATTTCAAAAAAGCTCAGGGTCGACTTACCGAGAATGCATCTGAAGGCCAAGAAGCCATGGACACGAAGGGCTGATACTTCCTCTCACTAAAACAACACATAACGAATGCGTAATTGGGCGCTGATGTATTATTATGGTACGATTGTTGCAATCAAGCTTCGGAATAAATAGTTGTAGTTTGTATTCATCAAATGATGTCCAGGTCAGGTTTTTTTGCTATTCCGTGTTTGTCATATAAAAAAAATAAGTGCGAACAAATAACGGAACGAGGTCAAAATTAAAGGGATCTTAGACATAAGCGATTTATGTAATAAGAAATTGTTTTTTAGAGTATAAGTTGACCTTTGACTATTTCTAAGTAAAACAATTATTTGAATGATCCCACTGCTAAAAACTATGCATTGGTTATTGCTTTTTCCAGCAAGACTATAGATTTTATAAACCAGGTCCGAGAAGAAAATATCTTGCGCTTTGTTCATGAATATTTGATTGAGATGAAATAGACAACAATAATCACAACAATGTTCCGTCGGATCAGGATTCGAACTCTTGACCTTTTATTATTATACTGTCGCTCTAACCGACTGATCTACCTTGTCAACGGAGGTAGATTGACCAAATTGCGCTACTGTTATATCTAAAACACAATTAAGGGGAGGTTACTCTATATACAAAAGTGCAGTGGGACTTAAGTATCAGCATGTTGGTTGAAATTAAAACAGGGCTTCTGAAGTAATTAATAAATAAGTAATGACTTGATTAATTATATCACCAACCCACTTACTGTCTTATTCTGGTAAATGTATAAAAAAAAAAAAATGAAAAGACACCACACGTACTTGCATGGATCCGGGCACATAGTATCACACACTACCATGTTATCTATTGAAGAGTCAAGGCAATTAGCTGAAAAAGATGAAGAGGCAAGGCAATTAGCTGAAAAAGACGGCAGCATATCAGAACAGTATAAAACTAAAAGTTCAGAAAACAGGACAATACAATTAATAAAATTAGATGCTAAAACAAGAGACTGCGTAAAATTATAAGCACATAATGCGTACTTGTAATCGCTCAGATTCCAAAACAAAAGACAAGTAAAAACCTTTAGCTCAAACGGGAATTTTCTTACTAACAAAACAGTTTTTGAAAATACATTCATGTTAGTTAATAGCATAACTAACTTTTCCAACAATACTGCAGAGCATAAATGTGCATCTTGCTGATAACTATGTCTTTAGGTTAAACAAAGTTGTTATTGACAAAAACAAGATCCACTAACACGATGGTACATGTATGTATCGGATTCATATAGTGGTTTGACGCGTTAAATGCAAACGTATTGCGTTCGATATGATGTTGACTTTCATAGAATTCGTGCATGCACACATACTTTATAAAGAGTTTTACTGTAATTTGCAATTTGGTTAAAAACGTTGTCATGAGAGCCAGTATTTACTAGGTGCCCACTAAGCCAGTACATACCAATGCTGTGGTTGGATACGTCACAGACGCTGGCTCCAGCAGGAATCATGTAGTACGGCACTGCACAGTCACATCGGGCTATGATGGTATCCTGGTAGCACGATTTGAGGCATGGCTGCTTGGTGTAAATTGTGTCAAACTTCTCCTGATAGTAGTTCGTCTTCACGCCATGATCCGCACAGCTGGCGTGTGGTGGAGGCAGACGGGTGATCTGAATCTACAAACAATAATTAAAGACATTGTCTCTCTGTTTAATATCTTTTGGACAACCCACTAAAATATAATCAAATTAATCTGCACGAAATCACTACTACTTGAAACTGTTCTAGTGGTCAATTTACATTGATATTTATAAGAGTTATCTCCCCTGTAATAGCAAAGTCGGCAATGTTGGTAGGTAGACGTTTTCGCAAACTAAGGTAACTATTTTTTTATTTGACTGGGTCATAAAACAGCTGAGAGATCGATATCAAAATGAAGTTTGGTTTATGAAATTCGGTAATACAATTATTCTGAAATTGTGAAAAACTTAAAACAATACTGTAATGTTGTATAGGATAGATAACATTAGTGCATTGTATACAACGCAGGCTGTAGTTCTATGACTAGGCTAGCAATGTGTTTCACGTTTTGCATGCATTCACGTCTTTCAATAACAGACTACACTGCCTGAGAAATGATGTTAAAACCATGGCCTCTCTAACTTTGATGTTTAATACGCTAAAATCTCACAAGTTCTCGAACATATCCCATGGTCTGGGCAGACTGGTCTGAATCTCTTAATACTGACCATCTACCCCTCAAACTGTCCGAGTATACATATACTACAATCTAGTACGTAAGACTGATAGTAATGGTCTCGACCTAGTCTGGCATATAAGGACATGGGTATTTCAATATCAACGATCAGCGTCCTAAACTAACACAATGTATCCCCATATTCATAGACCAACAACGTTTTCCCACATCCTACTCCAATAGTGTAAGAAGTTTACACGGCGAGATACATTTGACAGGCGCCGTGTAACCTCTAACTACCCATAGCTGATTTTCCCGATGCTAACGATCAAATTTTCATTGTTCGGATTTAGAAAAAGGATATCGTGTTTACAAACAAATATTCCTTTCCATAAATCCATGATTAAATGAGAAAATTTCGTGTCAAAGACATAAATAATGAGTTTTTTTCTCTTTCGAAGTGAAGTAGACAACATTTGCCATGATTTTCAGGTTAATACAAAAACGGATTACATGTAATGGGTCACACGCGGAATACAAACACTCCGTATCATTTCGTTCCGTTTGAAATCGCCCCTGCTATTTTGTTTTAATCCAGGAAGCCATGTTTTAAAAGTGCTACAACGACATGGACATGTATTTTGAGTGTTCTATTCCGTAATATACTACATTATTGTGTCTATGGCATAAATATGGGGTCTATATTATATGAACCGCGAGTAGACATCGTTGTCATGAAATGTTAACCACTTAAGTGAGTTTTTCAAGCCAATTTTGCTCCGCCCGGATTTCGGGCGGAATCTGCATCAACGAATGATTGCTTCAGAAATAAGAGGTCGCAGTCGGCAAAAGGCCGATCAGTGGCCTCTTATGTTTTAGGAGTATCCCATTTCCATGCCGTCCCTTGTTGACTTTCCCACGTGATAAGGAAGTACCTCTTGTATACCGACAGAAGAAACGAATCCCGGAGCGATGTAGAACCCGTCATCATCCGGAATCGGGAATGTGCCCCGTTCATGGACGAGGACTCGAACACCAGCTTCTGGTGCCAGGGACTCCACGTACTCGCCTTGTTCTATGTTAAATTCCATTACCAGGCCTGTAACAAACAAAATTAATAACCTGAGTAAATGAGATAAACTATCTGCTAACATGGTAGTAACTATAGAGATATGTTATGATTTGTCGAGTGCTGTTGCAGTTTTTCGTTTTAAGGGTTTGAATGCTTTGTCATTCTCAAATTAAAGAAACAATGTTGTGTAAAAAGATGTAAATGTTTCAGTTATTCGAATGGTCAAAAACTTTTGTTTCAATTTTCATTAGAATTAATCAATTTGTTCAAAAGTTTTAATTTTTTTTTGCTTGTCCGTTTATTAAATCTACTAGACTTTCGGTTTCCAATGTTATATTGTCCATACAATCTTAGGGCGATACTGTCGAAAAGGAACAACACATGCGTTAATTTAAATGTATATATCGGGATACGTATAACTAACCGTTTAACTCATTCACCCCTGAAATTTCACAATGAACTTTTTCAGCCTTTGAATTGGAAGACTTCAAATGTGTCCTCAGGGGTGAATGGGTTAATGTCTGTCAGGCGGTCAGAGACAACTTGATCCGTTAACGTCTTTTACATTAATTTCAACTTTTTCTGATTTTCCAATAGATCCAAAATAGAGTTGTTCATTTGTCTGAGCAACATGTTCCTGTGCAAACATTTGCCCCTTAATACAGCTAGTGGAAAAAGTGATTGTCCTAGGTTCGGAAATAACCGGACGCAAGGACGTTTAGCCCCAATAAGTAACCAAGCATGACAATGTGTTCCACACGGTCATCACATCGGATCAAATATTTTATTAATTACTGTGTAATATTGGGTGAACGTTAAATACACGTTATAAACCGCATGTATAATATAGTGTGTATTACATATTGTAACTCGTACTGTTTAATGTACTCAGCAAAGTCACATTGATCATCAAATTAAATAAAATGTGATAATCATTACTACGGGAACCTGTTAACCAATCAATAAGAACAATATTAAGAATTAGTTTGTATGTATAGACGTTAGAAACAGTACGGCTCCATCAAGAGCGGACAAATAATGGCCGTTATTTATGTTTACACCAATTACAGTGTCCGATATTTCGTTAAGTCTCACCTGGTTGAGTAAATATGTGCACCGCTTTGAAAACCTCTAATGTGTTTTCAAACCAACGTACTCTTATTTGTATGGATAATTAATGAAACGATGAACGCTAAGTAAATATAATAAAGTAGTATAAAATTGATTTTCTAGGACAGGCTGTTTGCATATCTATTAAGTGAATCTTCACGTCCAGATACAGGTTGGGCTTTGCGTTAGATTATTTCCATAAATGAAGTTTTGAGAATGATATCGTGATTAAATGTGTGCTACATTTTTTTATAATCTGATACAAGAAAAAATCTATCTTTAGTCTCAGGCAACTAAAACAAGCAAAAACCAAAAATAAGGTAGATACATTTGCATCATAATGACAGGTCCCATAAATATATGTATGAAAATAAATCACTGATATTTCCTCACAAACAAAAATCATGTCGGTTTATTGTGAAATAAATGAAATCCTCAGAAGTAAATATAACTTTTTGTTACAAACGTTGACAGACGAAATATTAAAAACATTCAACTCAAGTTTTTACAACTTGTGCCTTATCCTTTATTCAATATGGTGCTTATATACTTGTTTAAACTGAAGATGCCTATTGGTTTAATTCAAATTATGTGTAAATAAGTATGTCTCACCCATGAGGGGGCCCGCGTAGGAGCTGGTGATCGCCGATAGGTTGTTCTTGTGGTGGTTAAATGTATAACAATTGCCGTACTTTGAATTGTGCAAGTACGTAAAATTCCTAAAATAAAAAAGACAAAAGTTAAACTCATCAAAAGAGGCACAGATAAAATAAATTAACAAATCCGAAATACAGTACTTGCACGGCTGTCATTTTTTATTCTTTTTAAAAGTTCTTTTACATTCCTCTTGTTTTGTGACAGCATGTTCATCATTGACTTACCTCTTAATCTTAACGCACCATTATAATTACTATTGTGACTTTTTCTTAATATAAAAGCAACTTACCTGGGAAGATTTCAAATCAGTCTTTTCGGAGATAATAATATAATAATAATTAGGTGTAATAGGACTGATCACCCATCTTACCGATGTCCTGACAGAGACACCACAGCGAGGAAGTGCTACAAGTGTGGGTCACCTGATCATATTGCTAGAGACTGTACCAAGAAAGACGACAGAGAATGTTTCAACTGTGAAGAGAAAGGGCATATACAGAGAGATTGTAGATCAGACAGAATCGGTGGCGCATCGAAGAGATATGGTGAATATGCCTCAGAGATTCTAGAGGGCCAGTTAAATCAACAACATATTGCACGATCAGCGAGTGAACCACACGACCGGGAGGATGAGGAAGAAGACGTAGGAGCACACGAGGAAGAGATTACCACAACAGCTCAAGAGCATGAGGACGGAGTCGTTCAAACTGCTTCGGACACTGAGACACAGACAGACTCAGGGAAGTGCGTGTTGTTAGGTGCATCAAACTGTATGAGGCTTCCGTCCGTCTACGGATAGCATCATCAATGCATCGGTATCAGGTGTATTGTTTGGACATATCGAGAAAGACATAGAGAACGCGAAAAGGTTAGTAGAATTAGATGATAACACTATTGTTGACAAAATTATAATATCACTGGGTACCAACGATATTACAAAGAGTAAACAACACCTAGGGAACGTAGTAATCAATGTCACAGAGACGCTTACAAAAGTAGAAAGTGCATTTCCAGATGTAAAAGAAATAGAAGTGTGTGCAATAATCCCGCGCTACAGCAAAGGAAACGATGCAAACATTAGAAATGAACATACGCAGACTGTCAACACATTCCTATCCACTTTATGTCAACAAGCCGAGATAATGATACGACTGCTACTCGAATCCGCTCACAGTGAATGTATTCAAGATATGCATAAAACCCCTAACCGTACTGGTAAAACTAAAAAGAGAGTTTTAAGTAGTCAATCAACACGCCCTGGCAGCGAAAACCCACGCTCGAAAACGAGCAAGCGAGAGAACGATAATGAGAGTCAGGAGCTTACTGATACCACCTCGTTATTTACACATCGTGACTTTTGTATATAACAAAAACCTCGTATTAGTATGTATATTGTGTGCCTACGAATTGATTCCAAACAGTCCTGTATTTGATCATTGATAGTATATTCATTATAGTATGTATGTAAGTATGTATATAAACTATTTTCTTTATCCATACACCCTACTATACAGAACAGCAATAACTCTTACATTGCATGTATTAATGTAAACGGGCTTAGAGACTATAAGAAAAGATACAAAATGTTCTAATGGATCAATACACAAAAGTACCTTCTTTTTTATAAGAAACACCTTGCACATACCAAGACATGGTGAAATGGAACTTAGAATGGAAAGATATTGGCGGGTCGAACAATAAAAGTATATGGAATAATGGTACGTCAGAATCAAGAAGAGTGGCAATATTATGGAAACACAACCAAAATTTAACAATAACGGAAGGTAAAAGGGACAATGAAGGCTGAGTCATATCCTGTATATTAGGATCCGATACAAAGTCAATAAACATAATCAATGTATACTCACCCAATAAAGGACATGAGAGAAAACTATTTTTCAAATCACTTCATAATTTCTTTGAAAAAAAATATAATTCTAAAAAAGTTGTTATGGGAGACGTTAACTGTGTAATAAACAAAAGCAAGGATAGAGTCCCTTCTCAAAACAATGATGACTTAGGTAATGTAGAACTCAAATCATTTATGTCAAATTTTGAACTTGAGGATATTTGGAGAAAGCGTAATGCAGTTGCTGAAAAATACACTTTTTGGAGAGAAGTATCAAAATGATAATATATTGACCTGGAGGGAAATCATAAAAACCAGGATCAAGTCCTTATCTATAGAAATAGGAAGAAAGATAAGTATACCTAAAAAGGAACTTAAACAAACTGAGCTTGCACTAGAAAATCTTGTCAACAAAAATTCAGAGGAACAGGCTACACTAGAAAGGATCAACAAATTAAAAAAAAGGTTACTATAGCAATAAAGCTGATGCAACTAGAGTCAGACCAAGAATACAAACATACGAAGAACGCGAAAACTCTACAAAACATTTTTTCAATTTAGAAAAAAAATAAACGCTGAAAATAAACAGTGGCATCGGATGAAAGGGGATGATGAAAATATAAAATCAGGAATAGAAAACATTTTACACGAACAAACAAAGTTTTATTCTAAATTATTTACAACGGAAGGATGGAATAATGACAGCGCACATTTATTAACTCAATTCATAGAAAAGAATATATCAGATGCAGAGAGTATAGAGATGGACAGACCGATAGAAAACAAAGAGATCATTATAGCACGTTAAAGTACTCAACAGATCACCTGGAGAAGATGGGATATTGGCCGAATTTTGCGAACAATACTGGTGATTGATAATGGGGAAGAAGTAAGGACAGTAATTTAAGAACTATTCCAAAACAAAATGTTACTAAATCACAAAGTAAAGGTATTCTGAAACTGTTATATAAAAAGGGGGATAGAGATGAAATTATGAATTGGAGACCCTTAACATTATTAAACACAGATTATAAAATTATTGCTAAGATATTGGTCAATAGATTAAAAAAAAACATTAAACAAAATTATACACCCCGATCAAAAAGGATTTGTACCTGAGCGAAATATAATGGAAGAAAATAGATTATTACAAGACATCTTCGAATATAGCGAAATAAATAATCAAAAAGGATCAGTAATATTCCTCGATCAACAAAAAGCTTTTCATAGGATAGAATGGGGATGGATTTTAAAATGTCTCAATAAATTTCTTTTTTGGAAACAATTTTTGTGAATGGGTGGGAAAAAAATAACAAAAATCGAAAACATACATTTAAACCAACGGGTTTACCTCATCATATTTCAGAATAACACGTTCAGCTCGACAATGTTGCCCGATCACCCCGCTTTTATACATATTACAAGCAGAGCCTTTAACCTGTGCTATCAAAGTCTGTCAAGAAATAAAAGGATTACAACTGCCGGGGCCAGAACAAATACAAACAAAGCTAAGCATGTTCGCAGATGACACACAGTTATTTAACAGAACCGAGGAGCCTTTAAAACAAACATTTATAATTTTAGATATCTATGAAAAGGCATCAGGCTCCAAGATGAACTATGAAAAAACAGAGGGCATATAATTAGGTGAATCGAAAGGGAAAATACCTGAATATGTATATATATATAATTGATGATGATCGCATATGGAGAGATAAAATTACACGCATAAGCACTAACCTGAAAATCTGGAAAACAAGATACCTCACATTTAAAGGAAAAACACTAATTGTCAAAACATTCATACTATCTGTAATAGGATATGAAATTGAAGCGAGAGGAATTAAAAATAAAGATGGGAAAAAGATAAATACTCTTATATGGAACTTTATCTGGGACAATAAAATCAACCAAGTTGAGAGAAAAATATGCTGCACTGAACTACAAAAGGGAGGAATGGGAATGATTGACCTTGAACATTTTATTGAAAGTAAATATATCAAAACCATATACAAAATACTTAACTCTGAATCAGAACGCTGGAGCTGTATAGGGAAATATTTTATCCAACAATATGATGAAAAATAGACTAACAAACGTTTATGTGAATGGCATTAAAGCCTGGACTAAGATACAGTCAAGAATACACAATCAGCCCACAGAGATAGAACAAATACTTTAAGAACACCTATTTGGTAATGCATCAATACAAATAAATAATCACCCCTTATTTATACAATCTTTCATGGAAAGTGGAATATTACCTATAGCTGACATATGGGACACGCACAGAAATACATTTTTTGATAATAAAACTATTTTAGAAAAACCCTTAAATTAGCGGAATTGGATAGCAGACATTTTTAAAATTAGAAAGGCCATCCCATCCAATTATACACAAGTGTTACCTACATCCCACCATCACAAAAAAAAACACAACTCAGAAATCAACAAAAACTTGAAAATGTACTCCCAATCGAATAAACTGATTGAACCGAGAAAATTAAAATTATCAGAAGTACAGAAAATACTTAATAATAATACAACTTTAAGGCCAAAATGTGAATCTAAATGGGAAGAACAAATTTGGAAAAGAAATAGAATTGAATCAAATAAGGAACAATGCAAATGATAGCACAATAATTATTACAATCAAACAATTTCAGTGGAAATGTGTACATAGAATCATATATGCAGAACACATTTTACAATTAATGAACAGATCCGACGGACTGTGTCATCTATGTCAAAACACCCCAGAAACCCTCAATCATTAATTCTATCAATGTCCCTTAGCTACTAATTTAATAAATTTAGTACAGGGAACAATTTTTAACCAGCTTCCAGACATGGATGAGGACAACATGATATGTGAAAAGAGTATGATGCTAGGAGTATGCAAAACAAGTACAAGCTATTGTGTGATGAACTCTGTTATATTCACACTAAAATATTGCATATGGAAAGTAAGGAATATAAAATAAATATCAAGATAAGACAACTAGTGTAGAATCAACTATTGTTATATTTAAAAATATGTTAAAAAGTAGTATAATACTTCACTTTAAATCTAACAATAACACTTCAAGAATTAAAAAGAATTAAAAAAATAAGATTGTAAACATGTGATCGAGATCAAGGTAAAACAAAACCGATTGAGTATAGTCAAGTAATACTGAACATAACAGGGTCACACAACATGAACAACAATATCACTGAGGCATTCAAAGTATATTTGTTTCCCTCCGTGTGAGGAGGGTTTGTACGAGAGTGTAAAAAGTGAGGTAAAAAAGAAGAAATTCTGGAATGAGAGTGTGAGAGTTTGAACACAACATGTTTACCACTAATCTTACCCATTAATCCGAACACAACATGTTTACCACTCATCTTACCCATCATTCCGAACATAACATGTTTACCACTAATCTTACCCCTTAATCCGAACACAACATGTTTACCACTAATCTTACCCCTTAATCCGAACACAACATGTTTACCACTAATCTTACCTCTTAATCCGAACACAACATGTTTATCACCAATCTTACCTCTTAATCCGAACACAACATGTTTACCACTAATCTTACCCATCAATCCGAACACAACATGTTTACCACTAATCTTACCCCTTAATCCTAACACAACATGTTTACCACTAATCTTACCCATTAATCCGAACACAACATGTTTACCACTAAACTTACCCTTAATCCTAACACAACATTTTTACCACTAATCTTACCCATTAATCCTAACACAACATGTTTACCACTAATCTTACCCATTAATCCTAACACAACATGTTTACCACTTATATTACCTCTTAATCTGAACACAACATGTTTACCACTAAAATTAGCCCTTAATTCTAACCAACATGTTTACCACTAATCTTACCCCTTAATCCTAACACAACATGTTTACCACTAATCTTACCCATTAATCCTAACACAACATGTTTACCACTAATCTTACCCATTAATCCTAACACAACATGTTTACCACTAATCTTACCTCTTAATCCGAACACAACATTTTTACCACTAATCTTACCCATCAATCAGAACACAACATGTCTCTGCGCTAATCTCTTAATCTGAATCGGCAAAATCACCAGAGTTTACCTTTAATCCCGAACAGTATATTCAACACTTACCTTACCTCATCACGTTCACCACTACACCTTTATCGTGATCCGAATTTATTATGTTAGCTACTTCACTTACCTCTTTAACAGCACCAAGAAAATATACCACATAACAAACGTGATACTTTCGATTACACGCATATTCACTCCCTTTCTTTTGTAATTACACGTGTCTTTTATGCCAAATGCCTCCTTACTTTGTTGAACATGGATATCCCTCAAACGTACAGGACATCAACAGATCCTCAATGGTATGTCCGTACTGCTCCAGTTCGCTCTCGTCTATGTAGGCGGCAAACCCGGAATAGGCCAAGGTGTTCATGATATCCGAGCTCTTTTTATTATAAAAGTAATCAGCCGTTTCATGGTCTGACAAGGCGTCCCACACATTGAAATTCTTTTCTTTCATTTGACTTATTATAGATTCTGTGGTAGCAGATGACGATGATTCTGTAGTACCAGCGCTCGACCCTTGGGATGGACCCGAAGGGTTAGTGTTTGGATTTGGGCCAGGCGTGACCGTGGGCTCCGTGGATTGGGATGAATTCCACTGATCTTTGTCTAGAAAATTGCAGTATTATATATCTTATTTGTCACCAAATATAATGCATACCGAATTGTTAGACGGCCAACAATCACTAACTGCGTCACATAGTTACGTTAAAACATAAAAAATCAAATCCTAGAAAATGATTAATTCTACTATGAAAAATTCTCTAGCTGTACGCATTGAAACACCCTGTATTAACAGGATAAACACTTCCATTTAAGTCTCCCTGATTTTGAAAAAGAGTTTTGTTTCCTGCGATAACTTTGTAAGTAAGACATTTTCTTGCGATAATTTCGCAAACTACTTTAGTACTAGTTTTTTATACAATTGTATGAACAGTGTCGATTCATAAACATTACATTAATTATTGTCCTGTAATGCGTAATTATGACACATAATGTAATCAGCTATCACAATTGTTTTAACAGATGAGTGATCCCTACTTTATGTTTTTATGCCATATAACTGTATATTGTGCTATATAATTGTACATGTAGATTGTATACATGTGTTATTTTGATATATATGACACTAAAATAAACAATATTTACCTGAGTGACATGTAAGAATAATGTTGCAAACCTTTCTTCTTATTTTCCTTTAATAATTTTCGTTTTTATTTAACATTGTCGCAGGTGTAATCAACTAAATTGTAAATAATGATAATAGGTTTTTCTCTGTGTTTCGGAAGATTTACAATCGATTAGTAATCATGTATTGCCAAAGGTTAATATAGTACAACCAATACTATGTTCATGTATAACGTTTCGAAGACTAGGGACGATTTTAATCCAGTATAACGTATTTGACACTAAGGTGCCGACATACTACCAGATGACTATTGAATCGACAAAGCAGTTCGGGTTCTGGTAATAGTTGGAATAACGGACAATCAATGATAACTTAACTTAAAGTGATATAAAATTCTGAAAACTTATCACTTTTCTGTAACGTTTATTGATATTGAAACAAACGAATTTCAAATGCTACTAAAGCATAAATACAATGTATAGGCGTTGGTAGCAGCAGTTGATGACACGGGTCAATAGATACCTGTCTGTGATCTATCAAATGATAAACACAGCTGTGTGTCTATTTTACTCAAACACAAAACAATATATGATTCTTTTCAGAATGGGGTTCATCAGTTCGGCATAATAAACATAGATTGCTTGAACATAAACAACATTTTAAAGCTATTAAAGAACGTTACACTTGTCATTTGCATTCTCCGGTGCATTAAAGAAACATGTGTTTTCGAATGCCGGTAAAATTAATTTGTTTATATACTGCTTGTGTACAAAACCAACATAGCGTATATTATACACAGCTAAGGTGCATGTACGTATCTACGTCAACACTAACAAAATATATATCATATATTACATTGTTTCAATACATGAAGACATGCAAAGCCTTAAGAAAATGAATTATAAGCGCGTAAAAACCTTGGCAATAATGCTTGTATTGATTACTTTAGGTATGACTGTACCGCACATTTTCTTGAGAATTGCTTAATTTATTGGTTATTTAGTCTTATCGGTTACTTTACTGATTTTTATATTTGTTATGCACCTTGAGAATGTTTATTTGATTGATTATTCCATATGTTACTGTAATGCACTTATTTCTTGAGAACATTTATTTTATTGGGTTTTTTTTATGAATTACCTATTTCTTTAGAAAACTTTAGTGATTTGTACTTCATTCTTCCTATTTGTAATGTACTTAGTTTGAAAAGGAACAAAAGATACTTCGTTTGAATGCTTCTGAGTAAATAGTCAGTTGCAAAATACTTTATTCAATGTCTTTTGTTCTCGTGACACTGACATGAAAACCTCACGAAATATGTGATGTAAAAATGTACTTACCCTTCTTAAACATCATATCATACGCTTTGTCGTATAGGCTGTCATCTTGTTTAACCTTCAGGAAATCGTCTTCCATGGTACGAAATGGGGAATTTTTTATAATGCTTTTTCGTAAGGGATTCCTATTACAGATGGTTACACTTGGAAATTCAATCTTTGCAACGGACACCAGTTCGATTTTCACATCGACAGGGTATTTGAAGTATTTCTCAAGAAGCCAAAAACATTGGATGCTAAGCCAGGCCAACATAGCAAGGAGCACGACAAACCAGATCACTCTTTTTATGATGGAGTTAGCTTTATGTATTCTTGTAAGTGCTGTGAAGCTTGTCTCGTTCATGAAAATCTGGAATCTTTCACGAAGTGTGATGGTCTCCGGGTCCGATCCTGCCGTTGGTGAATCAAGAGTCGCTAGCTTTCCAGCCTTTGTGGCTTCTTTCGGCATGGGTTCTGTTTCGTTCACTTCTGGTGGCGGCATCTCCGACCTGGGGAATAAAGTGACTAACTTCATTGTATAGCAATTAAAGTTTTAGAGCAAAATTGTCTTCAGTTTCGAAAACCCAGACTTATCTAACAAATTGTTTCCACCAATATCACTGTTCTGACAGTTGGAATCACGTATGAAGTCCAAGTGACAGCCTAACATTGGATATGACTCGATTCTGTACTGTGTAAAAGGTTTCAATTGCTCCGCTATTTGCTAAAGTTTTATTTAAATAGGCGAAGTGATTATTGATATCTCATTTCATGACTAATGGTCTCATCTAAACATCGATTGGTCAACTCATAATGAAGGGATGATATTTATCAATAGTCATCAACAATGCTCCTACCTACAACGTTGTAGCACGAGAGTTCATTTATACCTTCCTACAGATCCATACTATCTATCCGTAAGCCAACGCTGGTGACGGTTCTTCAATTTAAACCTATTGACTTTCCTTTTGGCCATTGAGACCCCTGGGAGTTGTGGAAAATGTGCTCGGAAAAACGCATCAAAGAGTCCTATTGATTATTGTCCTTCCACAGTTGATAAAGACACAAAATAATACCAGATATATGATCATTTAATTAAATACGATCAGTGGTGCACGGATAGATTTACCCCGGTAACATGGGTCTTATAAATCAGATTTATCCAAATGTACATAGAGAAAGATCATGGTACGTGGTTTTGTATCGTTAATATTTGCTCTATATGTTTACACATGTACATAGTATAACGGGGCATCCCTACCGACTGTAATTCGTGTATATCCATGGTAAATGGAAATTGCTGACTGATGTTAATTCGTTTTAAGAAAATTACCGAAAGCAGCTAATTGTATACGTTTGTTTAGGTGTCCTGAAAATAACGTACGCTTATCGATAGTATAAAATAATGAGTGCCCTGTAATTTTAAAACTATGCCAAAACGAAACAATGGGAGGCTACTGTATATCTAAGCATTGAACTACTTTCAGTTGGCATTCATAGGCAATGTGAATGCCAACTTGACAAAGACAAATTCTATTAAGCGCGCTAAATAACATCAACTTGTTTGCATCACTTTGTATTCCTACACTGTCGACAGTTTTGAACTGGACAACTCGCAACTAGCTGCGGTAAGGTTATATAATGGTAGTGCCATTAAATGGTAAATATACGAAAATCCACAGTGCATTGGGACAGGGATTCTTAAGTAACCAGCATCGAAAAATGAGGTCACTGCTGCTTAGTCTGAGATAACCAAATAAGATTTTTTAAGCATGTACTGTATTCTACGAAACTAAATCCTAGCCATATTCGAATTGTAACATTATGTTCGTTTCCACCAGTTATGTTCCAGTTCATTTCATCGACACATAAAAACGCTAAATAGAGGAATACAGTCAGTTTAAGTATAATCAAGCAGTGAAAAAGGGTCATATCAGGACACGTTCCTCAAAATATATAACGGCTCAAATATGAAGTATGAATATTTTTTCAAATACTTTTCCTTCATCTTATGAAACCGCCATTGATATTTTGAGGTTTGTCTATTGTCTATTGCGTACTTTTTATTTGTATTTAATCCTTTAATGTTTCCTTAATGATCTAATGGCTTCCTATAGTGGAAACACTTTATAATCTCTATTGACTAAGGTGAAAACGGCATTTAAAATAATGAGGAAATAAACCCAATGAAATATAGAAATGCCGAAAGTGTGGCGACTAGTAACATGCATCTTACGCTAATAGATTTTTACTGTAATGCTCGTATTTATCAAAAAGATAATAATAATAAATAATAGTATACAACATTTGATAAAGTGCCCTATCTAGCTAACATAAGTCACACTAAAGCCCTTTGCAGTACATAGATACATTAATCAATACAATTTTGAGGAATTCGCAGGAGCTGCCTTATCAGGCGCTAACTACTTGTCCTATGTCACCTGGCTAATATGTAATTATATATATATAAGATGTACTAGTATTTAACGAGAAAAGTGGCAGGACACAAACTTCTTCTCCCCTGCATGGCGTGATCACAAGTTTTTCCTAACATTATCATTTTAGCAACAGTGACCTTACTTTTCACCAATAATGAAAATACTTTGAATTGTTTGGGGTTTGTTTAAGGCAAAATTATATAAAAAAAAAATCATGAATTTCCAAAAAAAATACCGTTATCGTTTAAGTTATTATATGCATTTCAAACCTTACATGAATGTTTAAAACAAATGTTTTTCGTGGTTTCTCTTGGCTTATAATAGCATTTAAACAAGATGTTTTACCAAATGATGGAACAGCCTTTTGATTTCTAATTTTGCCATTTCCGTCAAGATTTTAGTAAGACCCCATGTCATGAGAAGTTCCCGATTACTCTATATTTATGTAGTTTTCCAATAGGAAAAAGTTTTTTGATGTCAAAGTTTAAATAACGTTGCTTAATTTAGAGGTTGTACGACGAAATATGAATTAGTGACCATACATATCAAATATACATATCTGCGTTCTCGTCCTTCGGCAATGAAATATAAACCTGAGTTAATGAGAGACATGTTTCAAAACTGTAATAACCAATAGTGTACAATAACAAAACTCCTACAAAACTCCTACTGACTAGATGTGCACTGTGTTAAATATTACAGAAAACAAAGCGGGATGCCGCTAAAACATTGTGATACATATTACAAAATCCAGCGTCCTGCTATTTATACCTTGTGACACATATTACAAAAGCAGCGTGCTGCCACTTATACATCGCATTTTATAATACAAGACACAAGCGTGCTGCCACTAATACATCGGGATATACAGTACAAAACACAAGCGTGCTAATACATCATGATATATTATACAAGACACAATCGTACTACTACTAATACATCATGATATATAATATAAGACACAAGCGTGCTAATACTAATACATCATGATATATAATATAAGACACAAGCGTGCTGCCATTAATACATCGTAATTTATAATACAAGACATAAGCGTGCTGCCACTTATACATCGTGATATATTATACAAGACACAATCGTGCTACCACTAATAAATCGTGATATATTATACAAGACACAAGCGTGCTGCCACTAATACATCGTTATTTATAAAACAAGACACAAGCGTGCTACCACTAATACATCGGGATATACAGTACAAAACACAAGCGTACTAATACATCATGATATATAATATAAGACACAAGCGTGCTAATACTAAAACATCATGATATATAATATAAGACACAAGCGTGCTGCCACTAATACATCGTTATTTATAATACAAGACACAAGCGTGCTACCACTAATAAATCGTGATATATTATACAAGACACAAGCGTGCTACTACTAATACATCATGATATATAATATAAGACACAAGCGTGCTAATACTAAAACATCATGATATATAATATAAGACACAAGCGTGCTACCACTAATAAATCGTGATATATTATAAAAGACACAAGCGTGCTACCACTAATAAATCGTGTTATATTATACAAGACACAAGCGTGCTACCACTAAAAAATCGTGATATATTATACAAGACACAAGCGTGCTACCACTAATACATCGTGATATATTATATAAGACACAAACGTGCTATCACTGATACATCGTTATTTATAATACAAGACACAAGCGTGCTGCCACTTATACATCATGATTTATAATACAAAACAAAAGCGTGCTACCACTAATACATCGTGATATATTATGCAAGACACAAGCGTGCTGCCACTTATACATCGTGATATATAATACAAAACACAAGCGTGCTACCACTAATAAATCGTGATATATTATACAAGACACAAGCGTGCTACTACTAATACATCGTGATATATTATATAAGACACAATCGTGCTGCCACTAATACATCGTGATATATAGTACAAAACACAAGCGTGCTACCACTAATACATCGTGATATATTATACAAGACACAAGCGTGTTGACACTTATACATCGTAATTTATAATACAAGACACAAGCGTGCTATCACTAATACATCGTGATATAATATACAAGACACAAGCGTGCTGCCACTTATACATCGTGATATATAATACAAAACACAAGCGTGCTACCACTAATACATCGTTATTTATAATACAAGACACAAGCGTGCTACCACTAATACATCGTGATATATAATACAAAACACGAGCGTGCTACCACTAATACATCGTGATGTATTATATAAGACACAAGCGTGCTGCCACTTATAGAGTCATTGTGATTAATAATAAAGGGAACAAGCGTGCTGCCGATAATATATTGTGAAACATATTATAGGAAACAAGATTCCTGCCGCTTATACACTGTAAAAAATATTAAAGGAACAAATTGTGCAGTCGCTAATACATAGTGATATCTATTATAGGAAATAAATTACTGCTGCTAATACATTGTAGTACATATTACAGCAAACAAAGTGTTCTACTTCTAAAACATGGTGATACATACATGTACTTAAGAAAAAAAAGTGTTCTACCTCAAATACATTGTGATAAATATTATGATAAACAAAGCGTGCTGCCGCTATTACACTGTGATACATAGTATAGGAAACACAGCATGCTATTAATCAAGCATGCTGACGCTAATACATTATTATTCACGCAAAAGAAAGAGAACGTGCTTCCGCTGATACATTATGATACATATGATAGGAAACAAACTTATTGCAGTTTATACATATTGTTATATATTTTATCGGAAACAAGCGTACTGCCGCTAATCATTTTTTAATATAGATAAAAAATAACAGTAAGTTTGCTCCTTGGTTCATGAACTTATAGTTTAACCATATGCTCTGGTCTATTATATGACATTTAACAGTCAAGGTCACAAATTCAGAAGATGGACTACACGAAAGAATATATGCAACACCATTGTCTTACCTTATGCGGTTTTTGTTGATGGTAACGGTCATTTTGTCTCCACCGTATAAGTCTTCACTGATGGACCATTAAAGATTTGACATGATACCAGCCAAACGCGTTTCTACATCTCTTCTGAGCACCAACTGTAAATAAGTTTATTTACTCTCTCTTATGATCGGGCCAGTCATCTAAAGGAAAATCAATGTATAGCCTCCATTAGTAAACAGATAATCACTTATTTATTCAATACGCTCATTTTCCAATTAAATACAACACAAAGAATCAATTAAGATGTTCCTTTGATAAATAATATAATCTCTTTGTCATTATGTCAAACCTTTGGTTTCTTGATAATCACAAACCATTCATATTTGAAAAGACTCGCTAATTATCCTCCGGTACGCTTTCGATTGCCATATTTAATTACGCAAGTGATACAAATGTACCTGTAGTCTTATTTGAAGACTTTGAGAAGAAATTGTGGGTTCTCGTGTACTGTTGTATATAGCAGTCGTTACAAAGGAAACAAAAGTAGGGATTGTCGAAATAACAAAATACAACGCAATTGTATATTGGGATTGGTAAATTAATTAACCAAATTAAACTGTTTTGTATGCCTTGGTTAACCGATCAACCACAGTTCGCTATCATACGGTGATCAGTACACTAACAAACCAAATAATAATATATTTAGGAGTTGGTAACATAATCAACTACATCCGAATCACCTTAATATATTTCTACATGTACAAAGGGACTGGTATATTGGTCGATCACATATCATCGTATTGAATTCATGCGCAAACAAGCCATTCATTGCGGGAAGAGAAAAAAGTGGTTTTTTTCTTTTTTTTTCTGTTTTTTTTCATTTCTTTTTTATTATTTATTGTATTTTATTTTTATTACCATCACTACGTCACTACCTCTTTTAATTTAAATAAAATTCTGGGAAAATTTTCGAAAAAGAAATATTGTTCATGTGCTTATCAATACATTGAGACGAAGCTCTTAATCAATAGCTTACGTAATATGGCCTTTGTTGATTTCTCAACTAAATCACCTGTGTATTGCTTTGCCTTACCTAAAGTACCTGGGCGTTCCATTACTCAGTTGAAGCCTGTATTGTTTGATTTCTTGTTGAATTGTAAAGTCGTCTGATAAGAAAAATGTGATGATTGATGCTTTCGTAACGCTAGGTTGGGTAAGAAGAATGTTCTACTCATTGGGGAAATGAAAAGTAATTTAATGCTCAATTGTGGATAGCAAAAAAAGAGCATATCTATACGGAAAATACATTCATGCACGAAGATCTAATAGCCAATATTTGTTTTGGAGTTATGTAATTACACCTTGCGCTACGCTCAATAATAAGTATTGACGTATTGAATGCGTGGGCTGGACTCGATCATTTTGAATTAATCAGGCATATTAGACAGGAATCTGCGATAAAACTTCCAACTTGACGTAGAAAGGTTAATGGTTTCAGTGAGGACATTTTTTTTTTCCAAATATTTGTTTATTTAGTAGATGGGTTTCTCTATATCTTACGAATTAACATCTCGAATACCTTTTTGAAAGAGAGAAAAACATTTTGGGAATAGAAAGCCCTTTCCAAAATTGTATATACCCCTTTTATTGACAGAAGTGAAAGAAACATTGAAATGACTTTATGGCTGCATTACTGCTTCAATGATAAAGCATATGAATCTTAAAAAATATATTCAAAATTTCAAACTGTACTAAATTTTTGTTAGGGTAATCAAAATTCTACATTACAGTGGTTCCATGTATGGGTAACAAAACACTTTTCCTTTAAATGAACTGATATCTCGGAGTTATTCCCCTAGCCTTTTAATATGTTTTGAACATAACACATAAGTACATTTATAAGAAATGTTGAGAAGAACAGGTACTACTTCATAGATTTGAAACTATGATTTATTTAATTTTCCCTTTTTTAAATAACGAATTCTTCCTTATTTTGCAGCTTTCTAGCTGTGTCGATAGTTAAAAGCATGGCATCTACAAGACTAAAACAGTTATTAAAGTATAGCACATCGTTCATTTTCGTTACACAAGGAGACAGTAGCGTTAGTATTACTTTCGCCAACATCAATAGCATACACAAGAAGGGTTAATAAGTATGACAATACTTTCTATTAAGTTCTTGGTTCCTCTTCAGCGATAAATAAGCATCTCATCTCTATACTAATTAGTACGGTGGTATCAATCTGAGAAGTGTGGTGTAGGCTACAACCCTAGTTATACACTCAGAGCCCGTGTGTATGAAACACAGAGTCTGGGTTTGAGCCCAGATTCTATCCTTACAGTCCACTCCTTCTTCTTGGAGATAAATATATCACTTGTTATTAAATTGCTGTTGTGTTTTTAATAATGTAGCTTCAACAAGAAAGTGCAGCAAAGCTGCTGCACACCAGATCTTTTGACAAAAATTCACTAGCTGTCAGTCCACCAACAACGAGGAACAGATTTTGTACACATGAATTTATTCTTAGGATATTAATGGCATTAGTTTAAACGTTGAGAATGTTCAGTTCACTCTTAAGGTAATAGGATTGTGTCACCATTTCTCAGTAGAATTTCTTCAAATTTTGTAGTTATGTTGCTTTAAAGTAAAGAAAATTTTCTGCCACAAAAAAAATATATGATTTTGAATGGAAATTTATGTAAAAAGGAGTGAATTTTGAAAAAAAAATGAAAGACACAATATTTTTACAAAATAAAGTCATTAAAAAGGATACTGACATATATTAGTGTTGCATTAATGTATATCAATTTAATAAATGCTGAAATTGTGTAAAATTAATTCTCTGTAAACGATATAAAAAATGACATGATAAAACCATATACACATAGTAATTGCTTAATATCCTCAACATTCAGTAATTGTCCCAGGGCAAGAAACTGTACATTTTTTACTATATGCTTTATAAAGTATATATAAGGATTATTTTAACTGAAAATGTTATGTTTTTATCATTTTAAGTTTCTCGTGTAGAATAATTATCCATGAAATGTTACATTGAGATATCATTTTGGAGGGTGTTTCGTTCGGAATGCCAATTCTTGAAGAATGACGACGATCTTATTGTTTTATCTATTCACTCCGACACACTTACGTGTGTAACAAGAGGTCACATACATATAGTAAATATGATACATGGCGTGTGATGTACACAATTACAACATTGTATATAGCATAGTTACATACAGAAGGAGCACAACCTTGTACAGAAATAAAGTTAATATTTTTTCAAGCTTTTCTAGGAATCTACAAACTTTTGTGTACATTTTTACATTAAATATATTAAACAACCCTTGCATTTGTATTTGACTTGGATAAGTGAAATAATATTTTGGTATATATTTCTCTCTTAGACATTTAACTAAATCACTTTCACATATAAATGATGATGTCCATTGGTTAAAGCAATGGTTTGCATTTATATATATATATATATAATTCGTTGTCATTTTTTTCTAAAACAGAAGTTGAATTTTCTTCATTTATCCTAGGGAATTATATTGTGTTTAAACAGACATACTTTGTGTTCGTGAGAGGGTGTCTTTTTCATTACAAAAAACCGCTATAAAGGTCAGTACATTGTTCCAGTGGCGTTACGAAGGAAATAAATGTTTGCTTAGTTCCAGTATTTCAAACATATGTGTTAATTGTACATATCCATATCCCTCGGTACCAATTTTGCAGCAATGATTCCTCAATACTTAACCATAAACGCCCCAGAAACATCAGAGTGTATATGCTATCACGTTCGAATGTTTCCAAACACGCATCATCAATATCAGCGTTGCTATGACAATTAAGTATAAGTTGGGCGTTAATTGCTTTTTTCAATATCGCTATTCATTTTAAATCGTACTTTATTTACCGCATGATATAACTTGAATGAATCGGAGAACATAACTGTGATTAATATAAATACAAAATTGCTACAACATGAAAACAGATAATGTTATATTATATCAAATTGGACCAAGTACATCATCTTTCTTAATATAACATTTTAGAAAAAGACGTATGTGTGGTATTTTCTGCCGTATTACTTTTGAAATTGTGTGAATAAAAAAAAACTCTACACGATAATGACGGTTATGAGGTGATAAAGTCGGGAGACAATTTGATTTAATTTAGTTAATAGCAAAAACTGTGAAATATATATATATATATATATATAAAACATTGAGAAGTTCTTGTGTTGGAATTAAATATAAAAAATAGAACAAAAGACAGAGATAGCGTCTCTAGGCCTTTCTCGGGTTGATTCCCCGTTCATCAGGAGACTCCGTAACAGTCTCCTGTCCTGATGAACGGGGAAACAACCCGAGAAAGGCCTAGAGACGCTATCTCTGTCTTTTGTTCTATTTTATATATATATATATATATATATATACCTGTTTAGGTATTGAAAAGATAGGACGCTTGAATTACCCTGAATCCTTGATAAAGCTTGATATTTTAACTTGAATCCGTGATAAGACTTATTTATTTATACTATACCGTAATCAAATTAACTTTTTAGTCAAATTCATGTATCTGTCATGATTTTCATGCGAACAAATAAGTTACTGATTGTGCTTCATGAATTCGGAAGTTGACTAGTCGTACAATCTGCAGGTTAGAGCTTACCACCAATCGAGATAAGGTTTTGATGGTTAGAGCTTACCACCAATCGAGATAAGGTTTTGAAGGTTAGAGCTTATCACCAATCGAGATAAGGTTTTGAAGGTTAGAGCTTACCACCAATCGAGATAAGGTTTTGAAGGTTAGAGCTTACCACCAATCGAGATAAGGTTTTGTATTGAGTCATTGAGTCATGTGTTTAACTACATGTACCATTAGTTTATCTATTCATTTTCAGTTCATTACCAGAAAAGATGCCAATAACCAACGACAATCAGCTGTAATAGAGCGAATTAGCATACAAGAGAAAAGGGTGTGACTCAAAAATCTTAGCAATACATTTTTAGATCTCAAAGTTGTAAAACATGAACTGGATTTATTTCTTCGGCAGACAACTGTGTGTATTATTTGGTCAGTATTCAGTACTCAGTGTCCAATGATTTTCTACTATCACTTATCAATTTTATCACCTGCTCACTTTTCATGTGCAATAAATCCTGTTGTCAATTGCAGCTGTACTTACAGTTCTAAATCGAACAGAGAAGTTTGTATTTCAAAATACCAGATATTTATAAGACATTCAATACTTCTGCTTGCCTAAAGCCATCGTTACACTAGCACATAATCATCCTCGATACCCCAGATGTTACGCTCACTTACACTCTCTGAGGGTAACCTTTGGATTACAGTACATCGCTGTCACCGTAATTCTACAGCATATACTTACCATTGGTATACTTTTACAATATATATCAAAAATGGTAAGACTTCTGCTACATATAATTGACAACGAAATTCTACAATACTGCATACCGGGAAAATTAAACTGCTTCGAAAATTTCCCGGTATGCAGTATACACTTATCGTTATAAAACAACTACATTTTATACTTACCATCATGATACTACTTCAATGAAAACTCTCAACTGTTATATTGAATATGTACTTACCATCGTAAAACACAACTCGACGCTCTGGAACAGGTCCGTAGGACTTCACTCCGGTTGTGTTGAAATGAAAATTATGGTTAGAAAAAATGATTTTGTGCTGTGTATGTATTGCATTAGAGAATCATCCATGCGTTAGGACATTTGTCCTTTGTTGTTTACACAAAGGGAAGTTATGGTTCCCACAACGTCAGTAACAATAAATAAACACACACATAACGTTACTTTGCATCGTTATATTCTACATCAATAGCGTTGATTCCAAAATAATTAAATCATTACATATTACAATTAACTAGGTATTTCATGTGTCTGTAAGGCAAAACGTGTTACAAAATAAAATTAAAAAAATTAGAATTAAGTTACATTTTGTTTATTTTTCGTTTTTCTCTTCCTACTCATTCTTTTCCTGCTAGCTGCTGCTGCTGCTCCAGTCCTCTTCCTCCTTCTCTTCATCCTCCATTCACTTTCAAATGTACTGCACATATATGTTTTCAAACTGATGTAAAAACATTAAAACGACTTGAAAATACATTTCATTATATCCCTTCTGTTTAATACGTCAGATAGACAACAACATTATGTACCATGCTTGCATCACTTCTGTTTAATATGTCAAATAGACAACAACATTATGTACCATGCTTGCATCACTTCTGTTTAATACGTCAAATAGACAACAACATTTTGTACCATGCTTGTATCACTTCTGTTTAATACGTCAAATAGACAACAGCATTGTGTACCATGCTTGCATCACTTCTTTTAATAGGTCAGATAGACAACAACATTATGTACCATGCTTGTATCACTTCTGTTTAATGCGTCAGATAGACAACAACATTATGTACCATGCTTGTTTCACTTCTGTTTAATACGTCAGATAGACAACAACATTGTGTACCATGCTTGTATCACTTCTGTTTAATGCGTCAGATAAACAACAACATTGTGTACCATGCTTGTATCACTTCTGTTTAATACGTTCGATAGACAACAACATTGTGTACCATGCTTGTATCACTTCTGTTTAATACGTCCGATAGACAACAACATTGTGTACCATGCTTGTATCACTTCTGTTTAATACGTCCGATAGACAACAACATTGTGTACCATGCTTGTATCACTTCTGTTTAATACGTCCGATAGACAACAACATTGTGTACCATGCTTGTATCACTTCTGTTTAATACGTCCGATAGACAACAACATTGTGTACCATGCTTGTATCACTTCTGTTTAATACGTCCGATAGACAACAACATTGTGTACCATGCTTGTATCACTTCTGTTTAATACGTCCGATAGACAACAACATTGTGTACCATGCTTGTATCACTTCTGTTTAATACGTCCGATAGACAACAACATTGTGTACCATGCTTGTATCACTTCTGTTTAATACGTCCGATAGACAACAACATTGTGTACCATGCTTGTATCACTTCTGTTTAATACGTCCGATAGACAACAACATTGTGTACCATGCTTGTATCACTTCTGTTTAATACGTCCGATAGACAACAACATTGTGTACCATGCTTGTATCACTTCTGTTTAATACGTCCGATAGACAACAACATTGTGTACCATGCTTGTATCACTTCTGTTTAATACGTCCGATAGACAACAACATTGTGTACCATGCTTGTATCACTTCTGTTTAATACGTCCGATAGACAACAACATTGTGTACCATGCTTGTATCACTTCTGTTTAATACGTCCGATAGACAACAACATTGTGTACCATGCTTGTATCACTTCTGTTTAATACGTCCGATAGACAACAACATTGTGTACCATGCTTGTATCACTTCTGTTTAATACGTCCGATAGACAACAACATTGTGTACCATGCTTGTATCACTTCTGTTTAATACGTCCGATAGACAACAACATTGTGTACCATGCTTGTATCACTTCTGTTTAATACGTCCGATAGACAACAACATTGTGTACCATGCTTGTATCACTTCTGTTTAATACGTCCGATAGACAACAACATTGTGTACCATGCTTGTATCACTTCTGTTTAATACGTCCGATAGACAACAACATTGTGTACCATGCTTGTATCACTTCTGTTTAATACGTCCGATAGACAACAACATTGTGTACCATGCTTGTATCACTTCTGTTTAATACGTCCGATAGACAACAACATTGTGTACCATGCTTGTATCACTTCTGTTTAATACGTCCGATAGACAACAACATTGTGTACCATGCTTGTATCACTTCTGTTTAATACGTCCGATAGACAACAACATTGTGTACCATGCTTGTATCACTTCTGTTTAATACGTCCGATAGACAACAACATTGTGTACCATGCTTGTATCACTTCTGTTTAATACGTCCGATAGACAACAACATTGTGTACCATGCTTGTATCACTTCTGTTTAATACGTCCGATAGACAACAATATTGTGTACCATGCTTGTATCACTTCTGTTTAATGCGTCAAATAGACAACAACGTTGTGTACCATGCTTATATCACTTCTGTTTAATACGTCAGATAGACAACAGCATTGTGTACCATGCTTGCATCACTTCTGTTTAACACGTCAGATAGACAACAACATTGCGTGGTATGCTTGTTTCACTTCTGTTTAACACGTCAGATAGACAACAACATTGCGTGGTATGCTTGTTTCACCTCCGTTTAATGAGTAGAAGCAGAAGTTGATTTACTGGAATTTGGATTTTGAATAGTTGTAATAAGGTTTTTTCCGTAAACCGTATTCAAGCATATTCTGCTTGACAATATCTTTGTTGAATTAAGTGATAAAATTCCCCAGCAAACTGACGGGCATTCTTATAGAAACAAACTGTGCCAATATTCTGACCAACTTTGTTTTGTTTTCATGTTAAGCTAATTGTATTGATGAGCTTATCGGGACTGGTAAAATACTCCTTTTATTTCATTTCCGATACATCAACGAAATGCTTTCTTTAAATAAAAAGTAATTTATCGAGGACGCCGATTGTATTTAACTTCTTAAACTTGAAATCAAGAACACTACATAATCTTCTTTACGACAGCTTTTCTCTATCTTCACTTACAACATCAACAAGAGGAACGGCTTACTTCGAAGGAAAACCGTGTCGATTTGTATTTTCCTGTTGAGATATTTCACTTTCTTGATAGTTACAGTTGAGGAAATGACATAACATGGATTTACCAATTAACCTAGATTTACATGACGAGTGTCAGTAATGACGTCCACCTTTCTGGAACACCTGATCTGTGCTACCACGTTAGTATTCCCTTTGTTCATCATTTGCCCTAATTTTATTTATTTTAATTTCGTTTTACGGTTTGGTTTACACTTTTTACGCTTATTTATATAGGTTAGATAGGCGGAAACAGGAATTCTGCCATGCATGTGGCTAATCTGCTTGCAGAATCTTTATAAAACAAAACCTTTGAAGTGTCTGATGTTGCTGTGTTTAGCTGCATGACAAAAGCGGTTTCCCAACAGGAAGTTTGAACGACCTATGCTCACCGTGGACCGATTGGCAGCCAGCATCGCCTTTTATTCGCTTAGCAAATGGTTTGCCTCATCTAACCATCTTTGAATGCAATTACAATTCATTGTTTCCTTTTTAATTCATAAAATCAATGGAAATTACAGTACGTATATTGATTTCTTTTATCATTCTTCGATTTGTACGATCGAAGGTTTAACAAACATCTCCATTGATTTCAGTAGGCCATATAACCAGCAGTGGATATGATAACTTCGGTAATTAGATGAGATGTTATACATCAACCACTGACAATGAAATACGGTTTAGATATAAAGAGTTCATAATATACCTGATATAACATATAAAGTCCCTTCACAAAAAGAAAAATCTCGTCTCCATATAGGCTATCACCTAAGTCACTTTATAAATTTACTCAAGCATTCGTCGCTTTTAATTAGTCCAACAATATCAGAGAGGGTGTTTTTCCTCTTTACTCACATGCATCTTCTAACTTTATCGCATATCTTCGCTGCATTCTTGAAGTATGTCAAGAAAACTCAAAGGCTCACAACTAGGTGTTTGATGGTTTTAATTCACTTACAAACCTGATCGACCTCGAGTTTGTGGTACTTACCATAGTAGCAGATTGGTAACACTCAATGTGGAATCCGTGTACAGTCACGCGCCGAATTACACTGAAATGGTCCCTCGCGATTATTTTCTATCAAAAATTTGTTAATTGTTTTTTAATGGGTTCTTTTTTTGTTCTCCGATTATTTGTTTCAGTTTGGACGAAATTAATCTCGGAATTATATTTTCTTATAATGTTTTGGTAAGATTAAAAAGCAGAATGTCACCACAAAACTTAGTTTCAGTGAATACCTCGTCAAATCCAAAAGGAAGGATTTGAAATAATATAAGAGAAGCACTTAGACAATCGTCTGTTATGGGGTTAATTGAAATAGGTGAATTGTAATGTAGGCCGCGACTTTTAGATAATATTACGGCTTCTACCAAATTAGCTAATTGATAGCAATATCAAAAGAATAACTCAACAGTTCAAAGCCTCTGCGTAAAAAATACTCTTAAATTAGTAAAAAACATAAAATCTCAGTTCATGCAACTTCTTTATATTAAAGCCGCCATTTGAATGTGCATTACCATGTAAATGAGTAGGGGGGCATACATACAGCGTTAACAAGCTAAGCTAGTTTTTGAAATAAAACTCTCGTTATGTAACTTCGCCTATCACATGATCGTATCATGGTCTATTTACTTTTGAAGAGGTGACATGCAGTTCAATACATTACGGTAATGACTAGTTGACGAGACAAACAAAGGTTTAGCAACATTTAGGCGTGACACTTGCTCATTGCATGACTAGACTAAGAGGTGTCGTGACTTGTAAACAATGCGTTTTAATATACTGTCATTGATTTCCGTTCCTTCTTTAAAATTACAAAACGGTATTTGTTTGTATAACGGCGCTAATCACACAACATTTCAACTGTGCCAATTAGCATGATAACATTGACATAGACTTCGGAGGTAATGTGCGTCATCGTAGTCTGTCAC